GGGGAGGAAGAGCCGATGAGGAGCTAGAACAGGAAACCCGGCGGGGCTGGCCCCTCTCCTGGTTGGTCTCCACCAGGCCCAGCACTTGTCTGCCCTGCCAACTGACCTCTTGTATCATGTCCTCCAAGGCTGGCTTTTCCACAGCTGGAGTCCTTCAGATGTGTAGGACTACAGCTCCTATATTTTCGGTTAGCTTGGCCAAAGACCATCTGGGAGTTGAAGTCCAAGACATTTGGAGGACAACAGCTATAAGGAGGTCGGGGTCTGGGGTGCAATGGGCCCAGGGAACGGGTGTCTTAGAAGAATGTGGAGCAGACATGTTCAGAGAACCTCTTACGAAGCACACAGGGGTGTGCCCTCTAAGTGGCAAAAGAGCTGCGCATGATGAAAGGAGGAGGATATAAAGGTGAAGCGAGGCCTTGGAAGTGTTCTCTGAGGCCCCCAGCCCTCATGCTGGATTAGGGGGTTCTCTGCCTGGATTTGAGGTGCTTCCCTCAAGAGGGGGGCCCTGACCCTTCCTCCTCTTCTGGCTGCAGCACTGTGAGTTTCGGATGCGGGGACATTACCACTGCCTTCGTCCCGGCTGCTTCTTCGTGACCAACATCACCACCAAGCTTCCCTGGCACGTGAAGAAGCACGAGAAGGCTGAGCGGAGAGCCGCAAACGGTTTCAAGTACTTCACCAAACGAGAAGAGTGCGGCAGGCTCGGTAAGCGGCAGGGCAGGGACGCTGCGCCCCCCGCCCCCCCGGCCTTGAGTTGCACGGAGCTGCCTTCCAGCTTCCTGGGAGGTTAAGCAGACCAGCTGGGTTGTAAAGGCTGCCTTCCTCAGCTTGAATTAGCCCCTTTGATCCAGGGCTCCTTCCCTGAGAAGTAGCTGGAGCTCAAATGCGGAAGGTCCGCCGTTCCTCTCCAGGAGTGGCGCAAGCCCCTTTGGGTCCTGAGGAGAACCGAGCAGGAAGCCGCAAGCGCAGCACAGGCCTTTGGATCCTCGGGGCAGGACCTGCCTGGCACACCCCGGAGGGAAATGCTCTTGCCTTCCCTAGGCTGCCCCGCCTCTCTCCTGGCCTCAGCAGTGGCTTCTGCTGGAGGGGAACGTGGCGCTCCCTTTTCCGGTGCCAACCCCCCGGAGAAGCAGCGGCACGTCAAAGCACGGGGGCAGAGGGTGCGGCTGGCAGCCATGTTGGCCAACATGCCAAGGCCGTGCCAGAGCAATTACAGCATCGCTGTAACACCTTCAGCCCACCTCGTTCCTCCAGCAGTTAAAGCGAAGGAGCCCCAGTGGCAATGCCCAGATTGGTGCCCACCTCGGGCAGAGGCAGGAGAGCCTTTCGCTCTGCCGGTGCAAGAGAAGCCGAAGGGAGCCGGGCCCAGCTTGCTCCTTCCGTGGCCATTTCACAGGGTTCGCCCCCCACCCTCCCCAGGCAACTGCTTCTGGGTCTGCGCAAAGGGCAGCATCCGGTTTGCTGCTCAGCTTCCGGCAGCAGAACGTTGTGGGCCAGTCCTGCCCCCCCGCCCCTCTGTGGGAGAAAAGAGCATGGGGGGGTCAGAGAGCCACGGAGATCCTCTTGCAGAGCGCCCAAATGGCAATCCTGTTTTATCCCCCCCCATTGGAGGGATGGGTGTCCGAGGGCCCCCTTTGTGTGCCTGGCCCCCCGGCCCCTCCTGAACACCACTCAAGGCTGGGGATGGGGACCAGGCACCCAAGGAGACTCACAGGCCAGGAGAGGAAGAGGCCCCTCCATTTTGTACTTCCTCAAGAATTTATGTCGGGCCGGCAGCAAGCCGCTGGCTGTCACCAGGGCAACAGGCAACACAGCCGCCAGGCCGCCCGTACCTGGCTCTTGGCTCAGGAATGTCAAGAGGGTTGGCGGTTGCTGCTGCTCACTCAACCCGCAGTGCTCCGGCGTGTCTCCGGGCCACACAAAACCGGCCAATGATACCCGACACTCGGCTGCCCCAGCAACGGGCAAGCCTTGGCCTGCCCACCCAGGACCGTTTCTGCCCCACCACCAGCAGAGCAGAGGGCAGGCCGAGGAGGCAGGTGGGGGGAGAGGGAGAAGGGGAGGGAGAAGACCTCCAGGAACACCAGCATGGCAGTGCCATTGCTCGGTTTGCGGGCTGCCCTGTAAGCGGAAGGGGAGCTGTCACCAGCTTCAGGCGCCCTCGGCCAGTTGACCAGTCCCTTCACGCCGTCTGCACCAACACACGCAGGGGCCCGTCTGCAACGGGGCGGGGAGCAGCAGAGGCCTTTGACGCCCCTATTTCCCCCGGCAGGTTGGGTTTTCAAGCAGCTTTAGCTTTGGGATCGCTCGAGAGCTTGTTGTGGGGGACGGCTGGTGCCTGTTTTTTAACCTCCACTGCTTTTTAATTGATGGCTTTATTATGCTGCTTCTGACTAGATGTATATGGATTTTGGATTTTATTTGTGTTTTCATTGTATGTCATGCTGAGAGAGTATTTGCTATAAGGCAACTAATAAATCTTGGAAATAATTAAATAAAAGTTATAGCAGGCAGCATCCGAGAGGGCCGCTCGCTCCTGCGTGTGAAAAACAGGGAACGCCACTTTTAAGATGGCCCTTGGCATCTGTAATTTTCATAAATTTAAAACGGCTTTCCAATTAAGCCCTTTAAAAACTGATCAGTTTTAATTTGTTAAACCTGCCAATTAATAAATTAAATGCAGCAGTTTTACGTAGGTCACTCTGTCAGTCAGTCGTTTGGGGTATCTCAGAAATGCCCCTCTCCTTCTCTCGTTAACCTTTGCCCCTTCGGCGAAGGAGACAAGCAGCGGCTGATCCCACGCGGGGTCTTTCTTTCGGTGATCTCCCTGTTTGTTCCACTTTGGGGGGGAGGCATCCCCCTTGACCCCGTTCGGGAGTTCTTGGGCAATTCTGCAAATATGGGAAGGCAAACCCGTGTTAGGGGAGAGTTTAATTCCCGACGAGTCAAGAGTTGCGGAAGACCAAGTGCCGAAGTAGGGTCCCGGTCTCCCCCCACCGCTATGGGGCAAAGGCCCTCTCCGCACTTTGAGAGCGTGTGGGCATCATGACATCATCCCTTCCGAGTAAGACCATCATGCTGGTTTTATAGATCAGTTGCAAAGTGGCCCTAGCTTTAGAGCCCCGTGTCTTGGATCAAGACCGACGCCCGGCCCGGCCCAGCCCAGCCCGGCCCAGCCCTGGGGCGCGTCTGCTACTGACTCCTAGGCGTTTGCCGCTTGTATGACTTGCAAGTCTTTTCCATTCCCCTCCCAGGCTGTAAGTACAACCAGGTCAACAGCCACTTCCATTGCATCCGTGAAGGCTGCCAGTTCTCTTTTCTGCTGAAGCACCAGATGACGTCCCACGCCAGGAAACACATGCGGAGGATGCTGGGGAAGAATTTTGACCGTGTTCCCACTCAGGTGATTCCCCGGGAGGGTAGTTGCCGCGTGGCTTTGGAGGGTTGTTTTCAGGAACGCAGGAAGCACGGAAGCCTTGGCGTCGGGCCCCTCCAGCTCCGGTGGCCGCCGCTGTCGAGCAGCAGCTCCCTGAAGGCTTCCCCGCTGGTGTCCTTACCCGTGCTGAGGTTGCGGGGAGGACGGGAGCCGGCTTCTAGCCTACACAATGAAATCACTCAGTGCCATATTAAACTGCTCTAGGCTCTTAGAGCAGGGACGGACAGCCTACATTAGGCCGTAGCTGCGGTCCCAAAAGTGGCCGGGGCCAGGGCAAAACATAAATCTGATTTTAACTAACTAAAATTCAATTAGAGTTAAACGAATTAAAAGCAGTTTAATGTGATTACTACTCATGCACTTACTGATTTTTCTCTTATGTGATATTAAAAGTCACAATTCCTGAGCAATTTTTCCAAGGCCTCTGGAGGTCAAAGTTTCAGGAGCGCAGTGCCGCTCTTGGGCTTCAGGCTGGGCCTGAGGACTAACGCTGCCTCCTTTGCTTGCACGCATGCAGACGGGCACGGCAGGAGGTGTCAAGATCCGCCCCACCAGGTGGATCCCCGAGGCCCCGGGCACAAAGCAGTCAGACCCCCCCCCGTCTGTTTTACCCCAGAAGTCACCCCTGCCCCCTCACTTGTCTTGCTTCAGGTCATGGGCCACGCTGCTAGGAATGACAGCCTCCCTCCCGTGAGCAGCCTGGCCCCCAGCCCACCCTCATCAGGGACTCCTGCCTCCTTTCAGGGAGCTCCAGGCCTGATGGACCCCGAGGCGGAGGAGTACGTAGATTACGCGGGCTGCAGCCCTGGGGCCATCTCCTCAGAGTCCTCCAACATGGACCGCAGCTGCTCCAGCACGCCAGTGGGCAACGAAAGCACGTCGGCAGGTGAGTGGCCCCGGAGGGCCTGGGCGGGGCTCTGAGAGTTTAGATGGTTCTCCGTTTCAAACGTCGATGGCTCTGGGTGGCGCTCTGCCTCGGTGCTCTCGGGACCTAGTGCTGGCACGTGGGATTTGTGGAAGAGCCTCGCCGGGCGAATGGTGCCTTCGGAAGGCCCTGGAAGTCTCAGCAGAGAGAGCCAGGCCTTGCGATACCAGGGACAGAAAGTCAATGCCGTTGACTGAAAATCTCCACAACGTCATTGATTAACGTTCGCCTCCAATGAATCATCTGAAAAACGCATTCCCCGTAGCGCAGTTGAAACGCGTGACCTTCGTGGAGGCCGGCTCGGGAAGGGGCCAGAATGTCCGTTGACGCTCTGGCCCCGAGGGCGTGCCTTCAGGCTCCCCGGACCAGCCGGAGCGCGACCGAGAGGCCCGGAGAAGCTGCCGGTTCCCCCCGGACTTCTGCTTTGCCGGTCCCACCCGCCTCCCTGGTAGACCTGCTGCCCCTGCCCCGACTGGGGGGTGGCGCCTCCCTTGCTAGGTGGTGACCCTCGATTCGCTGGCACTGCTGCTGCTCATCACCCCTCCATCTCCTCCTCTGCTGTGGTTCTCTCGTCGTACGTGTGAATGCGTTCTCCATTTTCCATTGTGCCGCTTACACTCTCGGGGTCTTGTTTTGGTTCTGTTCCTTTTCTGGTGGTTGGCTTGTTTTTCTTTTCCTGCTATTTTTTTCTTTCCACATTTCTCCAGGCTGCCTGGCTGCTCTTCCTCCTCCTCCTCCTGCTGCTGGTGACGATGTTACCCACAATGCACCACCACCACCACCACCTCTGCCTCCATCTTTCTCACAAGCCCTGCTCAGATCTCCCCTCCCCTCCCTCCCCTATCTCTTCTCTCCATCTTGTGTCTCATACTCTCTGCTAAGTGCCACCCTGGGATCCAGCAGGGGCATTGTCTTGCCCACCGCCAGCTCGACAGGGCTCTCACCCATCCTTGCCACTCCAACTCCAGTCAAAAGCGATGTCCCGCTAGTGCAGGATGCAGCAGGTAATCCGATCTATGCTTTCTCTTAGCGCTACCCCAGCCCCCTCAGCGTAATACATACCCCGGGCCTCCACAAGACGGGCCCCTGAAGTTACGGGCCTGTCTGCGCAGCGCCAGACGGGCAGCAGTCTGGAGGCTGCATTCTGGACCGCTTCAGCTCCACACCCTCTCCAGGGCTCACCGGCAGGACGCACAGTCATCCCAACAGCTGCAAGGGCATTACTCGCCTTTAATTTCACTCTTTCACCAGCATCGAATAAAAACCTTACCAGCAGTGCCTTATACTCGTAGCGTTAGATTATCAGTGGCCACAAGTTCTGAACAATGCCTACAAGCGGACTTAGCAGCAATAGAAAAATGACAGAAAATCTCTAAGAGGAATTCAGATCAAAATTAAAGCAATGCCTACGTAGTGTAATAATCACAGTAACAGAGAGATAATCTCGTGTGCTATGCGGAAGACACGCTCTAATGGGAATGTGCTTGTCTGAACAGTCCTCTGCAGAGAAACATGGTTTCTACAAAACAAAACCCTAAAAAGTAAATAATTGTGAAATATAACAGAGCCAAAATTTCCACCGAAGGCCATTCAGTGATCAATCATCCCGATGGGTTCAGAAATCCTCCTGACCCAATCCCCGGTGGGGGGGGGGAAACAGCTTTTCAGAGCCTTACGAAAGGCAGGAGGGGTTGGGGCATCCGGGTCTCGGGAGAAGCGCTGTTCCATAGGGCCAGCGCAGCCACAGGGAAGACGCGTCTCCCGCGCCCCCCAAGATGACGCTGCTCCAGAGGTGGGGCCTAGAGCGCGCTCTGCCACGACCTGGCAACTAAAAGAGAGTCACGCTGTATCCACCAAGACAGAGTGTTTTTGCCTAACTGGGGGAGACTCGCAAGGAAAAAGGGGGGTCCGCCTCTCCAGAATGACACCTCTGCCTTTGCTTCCCCAGGGAACACCATCACCATGCCAACTGCCGCAGGGGCCAAGAAGCGCTTCTGGATCATCGAGGACATGTCCCCGTTCGGCAAGCGCCGCAAGACCCCGTCCTCCCGCAAGATGCTGGACGAAGGGATGATGCTGGAGGGCTTCCGGCGGTATGACCTGTATGAGGATTGCAAAGACGCCAACTGCCAGTTCTCCCTCAAGGTCACGCACTACCACTGCACCCGGGAGAACTGCGGTTACAAATTTTGCGGCCGCACCCACATGTACAAGCACGCGCAGCACCACGACCGCGTGGACAATCTGGTGCTGGACGATTTCAAGCGCTTCAAGTCCTCCCTCAGCTGCAACTTCCCCGACTGCCAGTTCTCTGGCAACAGCACACACTTCCACTGCCTGCGCTGCGGCTTCCGCTGCACCGACAGCACCAAGGTGACGGCCCACCGCAAGCACCACGGCAAGCAGGACGTGATCAGCGCCGCTGGTTTCTGCCAGTTCAGCTCCAGCGTGGACTGCGAGGTGCCCGAGTGCAAATACAAACTCAAGTGCTCCCACTTCCACTGCACCTACCCGGGCTGCAAGCACACCGTGGTGGGCATGTCGCAGATGGACTCGCACAAGCGCAAGCACGAGAAGCAGGAGCGCGGAGAGCTGCCGGCCATCTCTCCGGGCCCCGAGGGCCTCCCCCCGTCCGCCCTGGAGTATGAGGCCCAGAACTCTTCCGTCAACCTGGACAGCTCTCTCAACCTGAGCACCGACGCAAACAGCTCCCTCTTCTTCCTGCAGAACGCCGCAGGCGTGGGGCTCAACGACTCCATGGACCTCAGCCAGAAGCCCCCGGAGGGGACGGGCGGCCTCCCTCCCACCCCGGGGGAGAGCCTGGCCCCTGCAGCGGGCAAGCGGTTCCTGGCCAGCTGTTGCAACGTGGAAGAAGAGGACGATTCTTCCCACGACGACGACGACGAAGAGGAGGAAATGAATGAGGAGGAGGACGAGGAGGAAGATGAGGAAGAGGACGAGGAGGAGGACGAGGAGGAAGAGGAAGAGGATCTGAACACCGATTCTGAAGAGTCGCTTCCCGATCCTGAGGGCCTGCCCGCTAAAGACATTAGCGAACTGGAGGAGGTGGGCTCTTCCGCCGCAGATCCCAGCGATGCTTCCACGCCGTCCGGCGAGCGAGCCTCTGCCCCGGCCCCCGAGGCCTCTCCTTAAGGTGCAGCTGCAGCAGCAGCAGTGGGCGCAGGGGCTCGGCCTTTGCAAAAAGAGCGCAAAAACTGCATGAACAGGAGACCCTGCTGTGTGAGGTGAGGCAAGAACAAATGCTAGAATGGCGAGCGGCAAAACCGACTCTATCCCAGAAGGTGCACAGGAGGAGGAGGAGGAGGAGGAGGGAAGCACTGATTCTTGGACCACGCAAAACACGGAGACAAAGCAGAGCCGCATCCCGGGGCGGGGAGCAGCAGGAGGACCCATCTGTTGGGGCGCACATGTTTACAGGGGGCAGGCAGGCAGGCAGAGCATCGTCTACAGACCAGACGGACTGGCCCTCCCGCTGCTGGACGGCTCCGCTCGCCGTGGCAGAAAGCGCCCTGCTTCTCTCCGCAGGAGGGTCCCTTCCCCTCCGGCCTCGGTTTGCTTTCGTTCGTCCTGTAGTTCTCCTCCCGTTCTCAGGGAGATGGGGCAGGCAGCTAGCGTCCGGTGGGGATGTGATGAGGGATGAGAGGCTGAGTCACATACTACATAGATACATCTATACGTCTATAGGTGTCGATATAGATATATATAGCGGCAAAGCTGGATTCGGTTCTGCGAAGCTGCAAGCCGAGTCCTTTTGCCACCGGGGGAATTAGGGAAAGGGGTGGGTCCCGGTATCACTTATATTCCTATTTCTTTCTTTCTCCTTTCTCCAGCATCAAATGAACAGGAGAAATAGGAGTCTCAGGCAGCTTGGAATAGTTGGAACAGGGGTATTTATTATCAGATTTAAAACAAAAAAAAAAGAGGTGGGGAAGACATGAAATGAATTGATCCAGGCTGGGAATAAAATATCAGTAATAATAATAATAATGATAATAATGATAATAATAATACTAATTACTGTTTTTTCTAAGGAAGAAGGAACTTGTTATTTATAAGGCGGCCCTCTTCCTGCAGCAGGAGGGTCCCTTTCTGACGGAGCCCTGACCAGGGGCACCGCCGGCAAAGGAGCAGAGGCGTCGCTCTAAGCAGCCCCAGCCTCCGGAGGGCAGGGGGGCCCAAAGCCAAAGCGGGGGGCTTGTGCCCACCCGCAGAAGCCCACGGCCCCAGAGCTTGGCGGGCCCTCTGCCCG